CGTGGAGGGAGTGTTACTCAACAATAGTGATGATGATGATGATGATGGTGATGATGATGATGGTGGTGGTAGAGATGATGGTGATGATGGGGGTGATAGTGATGATGATAATGGTGGTGGTGATGATGGTGATAGTGATGGTGGTGGTAGTGATGATGGTGATGATGATGGTGGTAGTGATGATGGTGATGATGATAGTGATAATGATGGTGGTGGTGATTAATGGTGCTAGTGGTGGTGATGATAGTGGTGATAATGATGATAATTAATACTACTACTGCTGCTACCCATTTCTCCTACTACTACTTTAGTTTCTTTCATTTTACTGCTACTCCTGTATATGGTTTTAGAATCAAGGACTCTAAAGAGGTCAGAGAACAAAATAGATTTTTTTAAAAAAACAGCACACACACCAACCCTGCCTTATGTAGTTTACTTTTTTTAATGGAATACAATAAATAAAATAAATGAATAAAATATGTGAAATTGTAATAAATACAACAAGGAAAAATAAGGCAAGGAATAAGGCAGGGGGGTGGGGATGAGTAATGTGGAGATGGGAATTACAGCTCTAAGCAGAGTGGTTAAGGAGGGCTTCGCAATGAATGTAACATTTAAGCAAAAACCTAAGAACAGTGACGGAGTGTGCCGTGTCGCCTCCGACAGAAGAGCGTTCCAGACAGACGAATTGTTTGAAACTGCAAAGGCCCAGAGTTGGAAATATGCCTGACATATTTGAGAACAAAGAACATTGCAGGTTGAGGAGGCGAGTGAGGCATGAGCAGATCGACCTGGGGGAAATCAGGTCCTATGTAATGCCAAGGCCAAGTCACAGACGACCTTATAAATCATTGTAAGAATCTGGCTTATACTCCGTGAGATGGGAAGACAATGGAGAGCTTTTAACAAAATAAGCCATTTTATGTCATTGTGTGTGTGTGTGTGTGTGTGTGTGTGTGTGAGAGAGAGAGAGAGAGAGAGAGAGAGAGAGAGAGAGAGAGAGAGGGAGTTCATGAATGGATATGAATGTCTGTTTGTACACATAAATAGGCAGGTAGGTGCATTTTTCTAGAGAGAGATTCCACCGGCATCTATAAAATTTCCTCAAGAAGCTACCCTATAATGTACTTGTCCTCTAGTCTCTACCCAGTTCACTTCACACTCCAGAGAGGGCGAGTGCTGCTGGGTTGTTTTCCAGGCAGAACCTCTCCACGAGTGTAAATGTGCCTACGTTGGGACAAGCACCCCTCTTTGCTATGGACACCATGCTTGTCCCTGTGCCGGAGATGTGAGATGGGTCTGGGGGCTCTTCTCATTTGAGAAAAGATGCTCCCATCCCATTTAGCCCATTTGAAATCCTAATGGGAGCCAAGGAGAGGTCGGGGGTGAAGACTCCTATTTTGCTCTCTTCTGTATCTTTAGTACCAAGAGCAGTGCCAGGCATGGGGAATGCTTACAAATTGTTGAACGAACTAATAATACACATTCACATACATGTTGTTACACACACATACAACATGAGGAGGTTGACTTCTTATCGAATCTTGGATTTCAAGATAAGCTCTACTCCAGGCGATGAGCAACTATAATTCTAAGTTCTTCGCTTCCAGTTTCTCACAAAGATACTAGTAAGCCTTGTATCACTAGAGGTAAGCCTCATCTATTGAAATATGACCTTACTGTATTTACATGGGAATTTTTTAAAAATATATTTTATTGATTTTTTTACAGAGAGGAAGGGAGAAGGATAGAGAGTTAGAAACATCGATGAGAGAGAAACATTGATCAGTTGCCTCCTGCACACCTCCTGCTAAGGATGTGCCCGCAACCAAGGTACATGCCCTTGACCGGAATCAAACCCGGGACCCTTCAGTCCGCAGCCCGACGCTCTATCCACTGAGCCAAACCGGTTAGGGCTTACATGGGAATCTTTAGGGGTTTTATCAGGTTTGGGGCAGAGGAGAGTTGAATAAGAAATGTATTTAATATACACCTAAGTAGATGAGAGTTTTTTATGCAGCTTTTGAAATGCAACAAATGTTCATTTCAGCATTCCCAGTGTTATCAGACATTCTCTGAAGACACAGCAATAAACATGATAAGCATGATACCTTTATGGATCTACACTCTAATGGGGGGAGAACGGGCATTAAGGAAAAAGTTACACAAACTAAATAGCATTACGTATCCAGTGCAGTGTTTGTGAGCAGCATGGCCATGCATAACCGGAACCAGAATCACCTGGGAATATTTCTAAAAACACAGCTTTCTCATTCTCACCACATAGCTACTGAATCAGAAATGATGGGGTGTAGTCCTGAAATCTGAATTAAAAAAAAATCTCCCAGTTGATCCTTATCCTAAAGTTTAAGATAGACATATAGTGGAGACACACAAAACACACATTACGACTGTGGTCCAGGGATGCCTAACCTAGTCCGAGGGAACCAGACTGAAGATGAGTAGGGTTAACCAAGCAAGGGGAGATGAGGAGGAGTGCAGAGGGTAAAGGGCAGACAAAGAGCATTCCAGGATGAGGCAATACCACACGGAGTTGGGGAAGGGCTCAGTGACTTTGCTCAACAGTATTAGTTAAAAGGCAAATCAAAACCACCATGAGACATCATCTCACATCCATTAGGAAAGCGATCACAATTTATTACTGGCAAGCAACTGAGTGATACTTGGGATCAAATTACAAAGGGGAGGCGGGAGACAAAATTCAGAAAGACTTATTACTATTGGACTTTTCCCCCTTTCTTGGGGACTTTATTTACTCAAGGGACAAATATTTATTGAAGTTTTACTCAGTTTATAGAAATCCTGCCACAGGAAAAAAAGTCAACCTGTATTAATTCTATTTGCAGAAATCTGGTAAATTCAAACAGTGTGCTAATAAGTCTAATCGGAAGCAGTGTAATTGCACAAAGGATCAGAAGCTTTCATATGCTGTTGCTTTCTCAGATTGCAGAGAAAAGGTAAGGTAATTTTTAATTACCTGAAGACAGAATGCCTTCATATTGCTTCGATTTTTTGAAATGTGCATTTTGGTTACATATGAAAACTATGACTTAGAAATAATGTCTTCTTATGATATAGAACTAAATGTGATACAGAGCTAAAAAGATCTGGATTTAATTCTCCCCACACAAGTTAATTAACATCACCTGTAAAATAGAACAATACTTGCACTGCCCTGTCCATTTCACAGGTTCTTATAAATATACCCATTCATATCTACATGAAAACAATTTGTAACGTATCAAACACCTCATCCACTACAGTACGGCAAACATTGATTCATCAAAAATATTTAGTATATCAGGTCGTGGATAATAGAAGTTGAAACCCTTATTGTCAAGAAGTTCAGTCTGGTAGTGGTAGCAAAATACATCCTATATAATAAAAGGCTAATATACAAATCGACTGAATGGCAGAATAATTGGTCACTATGACGTGCACTGACCACCAGAGGGCAGATGCTCAATGCAGGACCTGCCCCCTGGTGGTCGGTGCACTCCCACCGCCGGAGCACTACTCAGCCAGAAACCTGGCTCACAACTGGCAAGCACCGCAGCGGTGGCGGGAGCCTCTCCTGCCTCCACAGCAGTGCTAAGAATGTCCAGCTTTAAAAATGTCCAGTGCTTAGGCCGAGTGGGCCTAAGCCATCAGCTGGACATCCCCCGAGGGCTCCCAGACTGTGAGAGGGTGCAGGACGGGCTGAGGGACTCCCTTGAGTGCACGAATTTCGTGCACCAGGCCTCTAGTGACAGTATAATATGTTGGTGAAGAGGATGGGTTGTCTCAAATATTTCCTTCTGTTAGTCTCAAAGCATTCAAAGATGTATCAAGTTCATGTTGGTGTTTGCATTAGCTAAGTTCAGTGTGTACTTAGTGCTTTCAAGTAGATCTACTTCAAATGTCTTGTAAGACTATATGTATTTTTTAAGTGATTTATCTTTACATGTAATAAAATATATAGCATTATATTAAGTGAATTATCTCAAAATGGGCATAGGGTCACAGTCAAGAAATTATGAGTGCTGATGTTACATACCTCTACAATTCCCCCCTTGCTGAATTACAATAATATTTCTCGAGCATTTACTATCTACTAAACACTGCTCTGAGCTGTCACCATGATTTCATTTGAAGAACAGCAAAGCCAGGTAATTGGCCAAAGGTCACATCATTCATATGTGATCGAGTTAGATTTGAACCCTGACTCCAGAGCCTGAGTAAATAAAATCCCCAAGAAGGGGAAAAAGTCCAATAATAATAAGCCTTTCTGAATTTTGTCTCCTTGCTTTGTAAGCTGCTTACCAGTAATAAATTGTGATAGCTACCCTAATGGGTATGAAATGGTTCCTCCTGGTGGTTTTGATTTGTCTTTCGCTAATAACTAATAATGTTGAGCACAGTTACTGAACCCTTCCCCATCTCTGGCCTTTGTGCATGGTATTTGACTGACAGGGAGAGAGGTATGAGGGAGCCAGACAGTATCCAGGCCATGCAGTGTCTTATGGGATATATAGGTTAGTCAAAAAAGTCGAGTCCTGTGAAAAAGGCCCATAGGAAGTTATGAATTTTGTTAGCACATGTTTGCATATTACTTTTGGAGTTCACATTGATTCTGCTGTATATAAGAATCCCATTTCATTTAGAGTAGCCAGACTCTTGGGAATGTAGCTATGCGTTCCTTACCAGGAAATCAAATTAGTATTGAAGTTTCCAAATTTACATTCATTCTTGGCATTTGTCTTTTAGGTTCCTCGTTTTAAGTTTCCAGTTCTGCAATATCCAATTATTTTGAATGTTTACAGTGAGGATGGACACTTCCCAATGGAAACTCCATATCTGGTTACTGTGATGGAAGTGAATGGGAGGAAACACTGGGAAATCAGTAGGGGTTGCTTCTTTTCTATAATTATTCTTATCTTATAAGTGGTGTTGTTATTACCTAGATAAGTGTTTACAAGAACTGCACAAAAGACAGCCAGGAGATCTTTGGAAAAGAATTTGAATCAGTTGACACATTGCTATTCATTCTACTTCTATTATCTTCCACTTATTTCATCATCACTTCCAGTGACCTAGACTCTATGGCATAAAACATTTTTGAAGAATTTAAATGTGGAATATTTGAACTCTCTTTTGTAGATTTGTAGCAAAAATGATTGATTGGATTTCTGCTACATGTTGGCCTAAGTGTCCCCTTTCACAGGAGACTACAAACGGTGTTGCCAGATAATCTATTGGATGTATCTTCTAATTATATAAGGAAATTTCTTAAAGATTTCATGGTAAAATAATTGGAAAGATACTGAAAATTTTTGAAATAAGAATGAAATTTTCCACAATTCAATTTTACCTCAAATATGTAGGCTTTTGTTGCAGGTTTTGTGATTGTTTATGTATGAATACTTTAAGGCGATCAAGTGATAGATCAATAGCGTTAAATGAAATTTTGATCAGTCATTAATGTTACCAAATATCAAGACTTTTGATATTCAGTGAGTCTTACTCTACCCAACATATGCATTTTTGGAATGAAAAATTAATAAACCTAAATATTTTGCTTTAACTAACATCCCATTCTCTATGGTATGCTGGAAACTGCTATTACCAACTTTTGAGCACTGATTCTTAAGCCTTCAAGCATTTTGAATACTGGTTTTTAAACCACTGGTAGCTTGAAATTAGCTATGGTGAGAGTATTTACACCACAGCAATTGGCAAATGCTACAATCATAGCTTTTTTTCTCTTTAGATCCTGCAATCTCTAACTCCAACTCTACACATCTGGGTTTAGAAAGAACTATAAGAAAGGCAGGAATAACTGATAACTTTTTTGGGAAAAGGTTTCAATTATCCTATTGTGAAACTTTCCAGCCACCTTATTTTAAATCACTTACCAACCACTAAGGCAGTGGTTCTCAACCTTCCTAATGCCACAACCCTTTAATACAGTTCCTCATGTTGTAGTGACCCCCAATTTCATTGTTACAAGTTGAACATAATTAAAGCATAGTGATTAATCACAAAAACAATATGTAATTATATATGTGTTTTCCGATGGTCTTAGGCGACCCCTGTCAAAGGGTCGTTCAACCCCCCAAAGAGGTCGCGACCCACAGGTTGAGAATCACTGCACTAAGGTGATGCTGAAGTTATCTCATTGCCAAAGACACAAAGTATGTGTAGGTTAGGACTGGTCATGAGCATGGAGCTGGAAAGAAAGGCCAGCCTGAATGTAGGTGATGAGAGGTCTTGTCTGTTTCAATAATGCCACTGAAAAGATGTAATGCAAGATATGAGGCCTAATCTCCCGTAAATGTGTACTCCACAAAGTCAAATAGAACTGAAAATACAGGATAGCTTAGTCATGTCATGGAGTGAAACCTTTTGTTGTATCTCAATGTCTGTAACAAGTTTTATACAAAGTGAGAAAATAGCATACGTGGGCCTAAAATATACTTCATGTACTTTTAGAACACACTGTACCAAAAAATGTAAAGAGACTGAAAAATTACTTAGAATCTAGTCTTCATGTTCCAGTATATAATCCTGTAGGCCTCAACATAAGCATAAAGGTAAGTTGGCAGCATTTTTGTTTTTCTTGTTTTGAGTTTATATAAAATGTATATGTCTAGCCCTGGCCAGATAGCTCAGTTGGTTAGAGCATCATCCCAATACTCCACGGTATGGGTTCAATCCCTGGTTAGTGCACATACAGAAGTAAACAGTTCCTCATGTTGTGACGCAACCATAAAATTATTTTCGTTGCTACTTCATAACTGTAATGTTGCTACTGTTATGAATCATAATGTAAATATCTGATAGGCAGGATGGTCTTAGGCGACCCCTGTGAAAGGGTCGTTTGACCGCCAAAGGGGTCACAACCCACAGGTTGAGAACCAATGGTCTAGACTAAGATTGGTCTTAGTTTTAACATATATGGATAAACAGCATCCTGAAAATATATGGAGAGTGGAAACAGCATTCTTAAAGTATATGGAGAATGTTTATCTTTTCTCCATTCCCTTCGATGTTATTATTTCTAAAGGTATCTGAAAGTTGAATTTAGCATTAACTTATGGTTTTTTGAGCTGATAGACAAGACCAATACGTTATCTATCAAGGTGGAGCAGAAGGGTGTTTCCAAAAGTTAGGGGGAAATGGGCTCTGGCTCCAGCTGCCTATTCAGACACATGAAGTCGGTATGATCTAAGTAACTGTTGAGACAGCCAATAAAAGTGAGGGGACCTATTAAAACCACGAATATGAGGATTAGCTCAATGTATGCATCAAGGCCATGTTGGGTTTCATATCTCTGTGTCTTCGTTCTAAAAGTGCAGGAGCAGCGACTAGATCTCTCTGTTTCAAACTCTTGTCCTTCTCCCTCCATTTTTTACTTTGCAAATACAGTGTATGCTCAGAGCCTTCAGGGGACTGGAATCTTTAATGCAGCATCTGTGGGGAGAGGGGCCCCGGGGTATACTTTTACTTAAAGGGACATACCTGTCGATGCTGCTAATGACCCGGTACGTTTATTCCACAGGGCTCCGAGCTTTTCCACTTCAGAGTGTCCGTTGTGCCAGGAGTCACCTTTTGTAACTTAGTTGAAGAATTTCAGGTACGGTGAATACACAGGAATCCAGTGGAGTGATGGCTGAGGAAGTAACAGGGCCGGCACCTGTCCAAAAGACAGGAGAGTAAAAATGGCAGGATCTGTGTGCGGACAGGGCCTGGAGACA